AGACAAGCCTATTACGCCACACCAGTGTTCCACTGTAAATAAAAAATGTCCTAAAACACAAACTTCATCAAATGTCTTCTCCACTGTTTACGGCAAAGTTAATTGTTAACTGGTTTTAAATCAGAGGGGAAGCTTGAGGGTGACTCCTCAACCCAAAGGTCTCATTTGCATATTTATATTTACCTGTTTCTTACTTAGGTCTCATTTGCCTTTTTTTTTATAAACTACCATGTATAGAGCTAGTTAACTTAAAGGTCACTTTTGCATATTTGAGGGGGGGGGTGACCAATCATTCGGCGACTGCCTATGGATTAACGGAGGTGGCGCTTCGCGCCGTTATTTAAGCATGGGTTTTAACACTCTTAATTCAGTGTTCCTGCATTGCCTGCCTTTGCTGCCAATTTACCTCACCTGCTGCTGCTGCCGGTTTTTTTTTTTTGCTACAATTTGCTGCCAGGAACACCACATCTTTGTCATCCTGATGTCCTTATCATCCGATCCTGTTGAACAACCGTACGTTTTGTTTTTGGTATACCTACCACTTACATTCTATAGTGCACAGCTACGTCCGTACGCTCGATTTTGACTGAAACACATCCACGCCTGGCTAGGCTGTTGGATTTTTCTGCAAGCTGCGACAACTGAAAGTGTTCTTCGCCTGTTACACCAAGATCCTGATAGATCGGCCAAACAAGATACTGAGAAAAAGGACACACTAAAGTATACCAGTTTACAGGTAACAATCCTTATTGCACCGAGACAATGAACTCTGATCCAAGCACGTTTCCAGGTGCCTTTTCAAGCAAACTAGCTTTCACACCTACAGCCCAGAGAACAATGGCTACCGATGACCCAACAATTGACATTCAACAATGGGCGATTGACAACGAAATAAGCTCACATACGCTAGCTAAGTTAGCCGAATCGGAGTTCAACTCAATGTCATCCATTCGACTGATTGAAAAAGAAGATATTATCAAAATGCAGATTGAGCCATTGGCACAATTCCGTCAACTAATTGTCGCGATCGACGCAATCAGAACAAAACGAAACAGCAGTCA